GATGTTTCTGACTCTCTATCTCTCTCCTTTCCTCTCTGTAAAAAAATTTTTTAAAAAAAATCAATAAAATATATATATATATATATATATATATATATATATATATATATATATATTTTTTTTTTTTAAAAAGAATAAAAACACTAGATAAAGGGGAGTTATTAAAGAGCATGGCAGCTCTAGCCCTGGCCGGTGTGGCTCTGTTGGTGGAACGTAGGGTGTCAGGTTGGGGTCCCCTGGTGGGGGCAGTTGCGGAAGGCCAGGCAGCCAGTACTGTTCTCTCTCACATGGATCTCTCTCGTCTCACCCTTCTTCCTCCCTCCTCCCTTCCCCTCTCTGGAGTTTGTCCTCGGGTGAGGATTGAAAAAAATAAATAGCCGAAGCCGGTTTGGCTCAGTGGTAGAGCATCAGTCTGCGGACTGAAAGGTCCCAGGTTTGATTCCGGTCAGGGGCATGTACATTGGTTGCGGGCACATCCCCAGTGGGGGGTGTGCAAGAGGCAGCTGGTCGATGTTTCTCTCTCATCGACGTTTCTAGCTCTCTATCTCTCTCCCTTCCTCTCTGTAAAAACCAATAAAATATATATTTAAAAAATAAAAATAATAATAATAAATAAAAAGCCGGTAGGCGTGGCTCGGTGTTTGAGCATAGTCCTGTGAACCAGGATGTCGCAGTTGGCTCAGCGGTCGGTTCTGTTCATGCCGGGGTCAGGGCATATGGCCGCCCTGTGGGCTCCATCCTCAGCGGGGGCACGTAGGAGGCAGCCTGCCAATATTTCTATCTCTTTATCCTTCTCCCTTCCTCTCTCTAAAATCAATCTATACTAATAAAAGGGTAATATGCTAATCAGACTGGGTCTTCCGGACATCTTTTGAACGTCCAACGTCCTTCCAGAAAAGCCACCCTGGCAGGGGCCAAGGCAGAGGTGGTCAGGGGTGATCAGTTCGGCAGGGGAGCAAGCAGTTAGGGGGCGATAAGGCTGGCAGGCGATGGCAGTTAGGGAGCGATCAGGGGAGGGCAGTTGGGGTTAGACAGGCCAGCAGGCAGGGGCAGTTAGGGGTGATCAGGCAGGCAGGCAGGCAGGCAGGGAAGCAGTTAGGAGCCAGGAATCCCAGATTGTAAGAGGAATGTCCGAGCCAGTTTAGGGATCGGGCCTAAACTGGCAGGTGGACATCCCCTAAGGGGTCCCAGATTGGAGAGGGTGCAGGCCTGGCTGAGGGACACCCCTATCCGCCCGTGCATGAATTTCATGCACCAGGCCTCTAGTAAAAAAAAATATTTTTTTAAAAAGAGCATGACAGCTCTAACTTGAGCACTCAAGAAAGGCATTCTAGGTCATGGCACACATAAAGTGGCACACCAAAAATATATTTTTTTGCTGAAATATATATATTTTGTGCCAATCTGACAAAAAATTAGGTATAATTTTGAATCAATCACATCAGACGGTTATTGGCATGTTGGCTGTTGGTCTTTGTTTTTTTGTTTTGTTTTGTTTTTTTTAATTTGACAATCTGAGGGATAAAAGGTCAGTACCCCTGACTTAGTAGTCGGGTTTTGCATGTCTTAAAAATTCTTTCAAGACCTCAGTGTGCCGTGGCACACAGTTTGAAAATTGCTGGCCGAGGACATAGGGGTCCAGCGAGAAGCAACGAGGACAGAGGACCTCGGCATTGTTTTCTATCAAGTCAGACACGCAGATGGATCTATTTTCAGACTTGTCTTCGGGTGTGGTCCCAGCGCGAGGAACTGCCCTGCTAGTTTCCAGTCACCCTCACTTGTGACCAAACATGGCATCTCTCAGCACCATCACCCACCTTAGTACCAAAGCTGGCAACCAGATTGCTTTTGTCAGCTTCAAAAATAAAATCTGCTCTCCCGAGGCTGGGGCCTGACAAGGTCAGGGGGGTTCAGAAGGATGTGCTTTGGGCTCAGCAGTTTTAGAGGAGGAAGTGTCCTGGAGAATATAATATCCAACCCCACTGGTTTGGAAAAACAAGGAAGAGGCTGGGACTCAGGGAGGGTAAGGAACCTGCCTGAGGCAGCCGCCCTGGAGCTGGGCCCGGACTCGCTGTGTGTCTTTCCGAAGGCCATTGCCAAGGAGGAGTCTAAAGTGCACCGACATCTCCTGACCTGCTGCATTAGAGAATTCTGGCCGTGCCCGTCATTCTGCCTCCTACTTTGTAGACACGGTGGTTGTGGCTGACAAGGACCTGGCAGGTGAAGGGAGATGGGGAAGAGGAGCTGATGACAGAGAGAGAGAGAAGGGGGGTCACTGATGCTTTTGAGGACGCTCAGTTTGTGCACTGTGGGCTCCACGTAGGTAGGAATTGGGTCTCTACCACTTGCAGTGTCCTCACATTTGGCACAGTGCCTGGCACAGACGGAGTGCCCAGGAAATGTCTGAAGAATGAAGGCAAGGAGTCACCCTGCACGGGCCCAAAGAGACCCTGAAGCAGGTGGAATCCACCCACAACGGGTGGGTCATTTCAATGTCATTCAGCCTGAGACCTGCTGAGGCCTCAGATCTAAAATCGGGGGCCGACCTAACTGGGGTGGCTCAGTGGATAGAGCGTCGGCCTGTGGACTCAAGGGTCCCAGGTTCGATTCCGGTCAAGGGCATGTACCTTGGTTGTGGGCACATCCCCAGTAGGGGGCGTGCAGGAAGTAGCTGATCAATGTTTCTCTCATCGATATGGCTCTCTATCTCTCTCCCTTCCTCTCTGTAAAAAATCAATAATAATAATAATATATATATAACCTTTTTTTAAATTAAATTATTATCTGTGTACATATTTTACCATTGCCCCCCCTTCCCATACATACCCACCCTCCCCAGAGTTTTATGTCCACTGGTTGTACTTATATGCATGTATACAAGTCCTTCGGTTGATCTATTATCTCCCCCAGATCTCCCTCCCCTCCCCACTGTAATTTGACAGTCTGCTTGTTGCTTCACTGTCTCTATATCTATCTTTTGGTTCATCAGTTTATAATGTTCTTTATTATCCATAAATGAGCGAGGTCATGTGGTGTTTCTCAGTCATTGACTGGCTTATTTCACTCAGCATGATGTTCTCCAATTCCATCCAGGTTGCTGCAAATGATGAGAATTCCTTCTTTTTTATGGCAGCATAGTATTCCATTGTGTAGATGTACCATAGTTTTTTATCCAATCATCTGCTGACGGGCACCTAGGCTGTTTCCAAATCCTAGCTTAAAATATATATATAATTTTTTTTCATATTTTATTGATTTTTTAACATATTTTATTGATTTTTTTACCCCCCTCCCTTAAAATATATTTTTAAAATAAATAAATAAAATATATTTTATTTTTATTTTTATTTTTTTATTTTTCATTTTTATTAAGGTATTATATGTGTACATACCTTACCAATTCCCCCCCAATAAAATATATTTTTAAAAAATAAATAAAATAAAATCGGGGGCAAAGTTGTCCATCTTTCTTTAGCCTGGATGCTATTCAAGGGAAAAAGATCCAAGGGAATAAGCGGAGGATACTCACCCTTGGGAGAAAGGCAGAACAGAGTCTGTGAGCCCCAGAGAATAAATCCTGACTCCAAAGTTAAATGCTTAATTCCTAGCAGACATTTGGCTATGTCCCCTCTGCTTTATGCACGTCCTAATCGTAATAATCACGGACATTCACAGAGTGCTCACTCTGGGCCAGGCACCATGCTAGACTCTCTTTGTTCACTAGTTCGTTTAATTTCATCACAAAAACCCCACGAGGTAGGTGTTATTAGAGTTTATAGAGGAGGAAACTGAGTCACGGGGAGGAGAAGACACTTGCGCTAGGGCACAGAGGGCAGGAACTGAGCCGCGGTCCGCAGGACTCCAGGAGAACGCTCCTGACTGCTGTGCTCCACTGCCTCCTCCTCCATCTGCGCTAGAGAAGACCGAGTGACGGGCAAGGAGCCTGTGTTTACTCGGACCATCGTGGTAAAGGGGGTGCAGAACTCCTCTCCTAGGCCTGTGGGGACAGTGGGTATTATCGAGGGAACCCCGAGGAAAGAACAAGAATTCCAGTCACTCCTTCCCATGAAGATTGGGGAAGGAGTAGGGACAGGTAGATGGAAGTGGAGGTTCAATCCTACCACATATATTGAGCACCAACTGTATGCCAGGTCTACTCTGGGCACCAGGAGAAAAAGATAACTTAGCTACCACGCCCGGCCTAAGGGGCTGTCCCTGGGATGTCATCTCTGCAGACAAACTCGGGTACAACAGGCCTCAGCACCGTGTGATGCTTGAGACGGTACCTCCCTCCATGGGCGGAAGTCCACTCTGTCGCTCCCCCCGCCCGGGTCCCCCTGCCTCGTCTGGACAGGCCGCCCAAACTTCAAATCTCCGCAAGGCCTTGGGGTGGCCTTCCCTGCCCACTCAGAGGCACGTGCTCCAGATGCCAGCTGCTCGCCCCATCCCAGGCTCTCTGAGCCCTCCAAAAGCTGCCGCTCACTCACTTCCTCCAAAGCAAACGTCTGGCCCTCTGCTCTCCACCAGAGGCAGACCACTCTGGTGCTTCTCCAGAGAGCAGAGATCTGGTTTCTACGTTTCTGGAAGCTTCTCTCACTGAGACTAAGCTGAGCTCTTGCCTCCGGGGCCTTCCTGTGACCCCAGCCTGAGCACTCAGTGTGACGGGGCGGCGTGGGGATGTCCGAGCTGGGCTATGAGCTTCAGAAGGACGTTCTAGCAGAAAGGACAGCACACGCCGAGGTCCAGGGACAGAACCAGCTGGCTGTGTTTCAGGGCCGCGGCTGGCTTTCGGGAGAAGTGAGGACGGGGGTGTGTGGATGAGGCAGGCCAGACCCAGATCTTTGTTGGGGCTTCTCATGGGAAGAATGACTCACAAGACAAAGTGTTTTCTGAGAGACGTTTATTCTCTTTTTCGCCTCGGTCACGGACGCATGTCACAGGGGAAGCTCTGGACTTCAGCTGGAAGCAGCAGGGCGGGGGGTGGGTGTCCCGGAAGCCGTTCACTCCTCTTCCTCCTTTGCCCCCTTGCTGTCCATCTGCCGGTGGACAGCGTAGCCTAGAAAGGCACCGACCTTGGCCATGAGGGCGCTGCCGCCGGTAGCCCCTGGAGAGCAAGGACAGCCAGGTCACTCGCAGCCCAGGCACCAGGCCTCTGGGTCCACAAGTCTGGAAACCAATGGGCAAGGCCAACCTCTTCGTCCTCAGATGGAAACTCGGTGGCCCTGCGAGGGGAGGGGGCTTCTGCAAAGTGAGTATCATTTCCCCCTCCTCCCAACGCACCGCCCCAATCAGAGCTGTTTCAGAGACGCAACAGTCAAAATAACAACTCATTCTCTTCATGCCCTCCTGCCCTCCTCGGTGTGGTTAACAATGCAGACAGCAGCCGCCTTGGCGGAGACCTCTCTGTGGGCGCTGGAGGGTCCGTAAGTAAGAGAGGACAACCATCCTATGACACCGGCCTGCTGCTCTCCTGTACAAGCCTCTGGCTCCCCTCTGCTGGGGTACAGCCTGGCCTGTGCTCCCTCTGCCTCCTGAGAGGGCTGCTCCTCTGGACTCTGTCATCCAGAACTGAGAGAAGATGGAGACTCAGAAAGGCAGGGTTTGTCAGGAGTGCTTTTTCTCTAGGAGTTTGAAAGGGGTGAGGGGGAAGAAGAGAGAGAGGGAGAGAGCGAGAGAGGAAGAGAGAGAGAGAGAGAAAGAGAATAAGAAAAAGATGAAGGAGAGAGGGAGAGAGAGAGAATAAGAAAAAGAAAAGGGTGAGGGAGGGGAAGAAGAGAGAGAGAGATGCACAGAGATGGACATGAATGCAAAATTTTTAGAAGGATCGTTCAGAGCTCTGCATCAATCCCCCTCCCCGTGTTCGAGAAACTCAAGACCAGAACTGGCATGAGATGGAGGTGTGCTGTTCCACTCTGGGTGTTTGAGAATGAGCAGACTCATAAGATGTCAAACTGAGGGAGATGATCCTGGTTAGCAGAGGAGGAAAGCTGAGGCTTGTTGTGAAAGCAAGCCATCAGACTGTCTGGGTGGGAATCCTGGCTCCCGCACAAGCCAGCGGGGAGTAAGTGGCTGAAGCCACACACACACACACATACACACACACACACACACACACACACACACACACACCCCTACCGTGGGGTTTGCAGGAACACGCACTTCAGAGAGGACTCAGAATAGTAAACAGAGAGACAACCGGTGGCCCCGGTGTCTGCTCCCGGGCCTGGCCCCCGACTCACCCAAGCTCTGCATCGTGGCCACCAGCCCTCCGGCGGGCACGCCGCCCCCGTGCGCGATGGCCGACCAGCTCATCAGCTTGGCGGCCACGGAGCCGGCAGCGATGCCGGCGCCCGTGAAGCCCAGCGCGGGCAGCCCCAGGGCCAGGGCTCCTGGAGGGAGAGGAGGCGGTGAGGGGGCGCTCGGGGGCTGGGGCCGGCCCACCTGGTCAAGCTCCCGCCTGCCAGACCCACCTCCTCCGATGGCCATGTAGGACAGCGCGCCCCACACTCCGGAGCCCGAGTCGCTGTCCTCCGAGTCTCTCCTTTTGCCTGTGGGCGGAGTGGACAAAAGGCAGGGCAGCGCCCCCTACCCTGTGTCTGATGCCCAGGAGCACCCCCAGAGCTGGGGACCACCGTCCTCCTATTTCGGAAAACCTTACTAAAGGGGGAGAGACTCTTCCTAAGGCGTCGTGCCTGGCGCATCACTGGCGCTGAATAAATGTTGGAATGGAGGGATGCACAGATCAGGGATTCGAACCTGGGGCTCTGGCTACGACAAGCCTGCGCTGTCCATTGTAATAGCTCCTCTCCTTCCCAGGCACGCCTGAACCTCTAAACCAGTGTTTCCCAGGGTGTGGTCCGCGCGCCCCCAGGAGCACGGGAAGAGGTTGGTGGGGGTACGCGTTGCACAGGAGTTGGGTGGGGATATGCACTGCACGCTGCTTAGCTGCGCCTACTTCTACGTTCTCATGAGTACGAGGGGTACTCAGCGTTACGGAAATTACAGAAGGGGTACACGTATGTCAAAAGTTTGGGAAACACTGCAAAGAGTCTAAACCAAGGATCCTGAAACTCTCCGCTTCTTTCTTCCAAGATCCCCCCTCGCCCGCAGGGGCCTCACCTGCCTCCACCAGCCCGCAGGCCGACAGCAGCAGATAGCACAGCAGGAGCGATACCACCTTCTGCCGCATGGCGGCGGTGTGCGCAGGCTTTGTCGCCGCGGGCCTGGGGAGGGGGAGAGGGAAGAGATGACCCAGAGCCGCTGGTGAGCCAAACCCTCTAGGCTATCTTCCTTTCCGATTGGAGGAAGAGCCCATAGAAAGCAGCGCATTGATCTGGGCTGGGCCCAGGGACCCTCTAAGGAGCTGCGGGATCTCCGTTTCTTCGTGGCAACGACGGCAGTGACGCTCCTGCCTCACCCCGGGGTCCTGAGAACCAGTGAGGAGGCAGAGGCCGGAGACCAGGACACAGGCTTTATCAGAGGATAAGACCCTGCCGGGCTGCCTCCCAAAGGGAGAGAGAGCACATGGCAGGGGTGAAGGCGCCTTTTGAGGGGAGAAAAGGGAAAGGGTTTAGGGTTTAAGGTACCACACTGATTGGTGGTTTCCTATAAGGCACATGAATAAGGACCTAGGGACTTGGGAATGGGGGAGGGGGGGCTTAGGGTATTGGGCCAGGTGCTGATTGGGGGTTCCATGAACAGTCCATGTAAGGGGCCTGGTCAGGTGCTCACGAATGTCCGGGCTGCAGGTGGCGTTTACATCATTCTCCGTCCATCAGTTGGGGGAAGGGAGGGTCTATCAGAATCCTCTTCTGGTGAGGCGCCTGGCACATGGCGCGTGCTCAGTGATGTCAGCAATGTCATCACTGTGTTTTCTGTTCTTGACTTTGTCTACACTGCCTGCGTGACCTCAGGCATCTTCTCTGGGTCTGCATTTACTTATCCCTAAGGTGGGTTATTAATAGAGCCTGTTTTAGGGGGTGGCTGTGAGTTTTGAAACTATCCACCGCTATTCCCTAGCACTTAGAACATTACCTGTCACACAGACTTTTCTGGGGGGGAGGGGAGGAAATGGTTGTTGATCAATTTATTCTTCCAATGCATTGAACAGTCATAGGCAGCAAACACTGTCCTCTCACCAGCTCCGTTTTTCAGGAAGAAAGCACAGAGGACGCAGCCCAAGGCCACACCGTAACCTACACAATCTAGACACACACTCGCAGCTGTCGGAATTCAAAACCTATGTTCATTATTCCACAACATGGGGACATATACGTGCCCCCAAATTCACCTCCCAGGTGATTTTTGTGAGTCCAATGCAATTTTCTTGAAATAAAAGCAAATAACCATCACCCAGCTGGTGTGGTTCAGTGGTTGAGCATTAGCTCATGAACCAGGAGGTCATGACTGGATTCCTGGTCAAAGCACATGGTTGGGTTTCGGGCTCGATATTAATGATTCTCTCTCATCATTGATGTTTCTCTCTCTCCCTCCTTTTCCCTTCCTCTCTCTGAAATCAATAAAAAAAAATATGTAAACAAATAAACAAACAATCCTTCCCCCAACCCTCTAGTATTGAGCACTTACTCAGCACTTTATGGCACAAGGTCATTTAGACCCATAACCACCACATGAAGTAGACACGTTGCTCTCAACCATGTGCTATAGATAAGGAAACTGAAACTCAGAGAATTTACTATTCCCACGCCTGCACAGCAGAGAGTGGGAGAATCCCAAAATGACTGATGTCCAAGTCAGGTCCAGGCAGGGGCAAGTCCAGAGCCCATGCAAGCATCTGCAAGGTAGATGGTGACAGAGATAGATGGCGCCTTCCTAGATCTCTGGCCCGAGGCAGGAATTCCACCCCTCTCGTGCCCTCTCCCCTCCCCTCACTAAACAGCTGTATAACAGAAGTACCTGTGCCCCCTTTGGCTGGCCCACCCTGGGACTAGCCAATTTCACCCGGGAGAGAGTGCAAAATTAAAGCCTCCCCACCTTTTAATTGCCTGGACTCTGTGTTTTGTTTCCTGCATCGCAAACCTCTCAGTCCAAACCCAAATTTTTAACCATTCCAGATCACCCTTATCATGCAAGATAAACTCACTGTCACAGTAGATTCTACAACAAAGGGGTTTCTGAAATCACCCAGTCCTGTGGCAGGTAAGGTGGCTGGATTATCCTTTTGCAGATGAGGAACTAAAGCTCAAAAAGGTGAAGTGATAGAGTTAGTAATGCCACCGATTGCTGAAAAAGGCATCTGTTAAGGTCAGTTTCATGCCTCTTGGAGTTTTGTACCTAAAAGCCCCCCAATCCCCTCAGACCAGTCCCCTCAGGGGCTTTCTGGGCAGTCTGGCAAAAGGTGACCGCCTGACACCCATGCCTCTTAGTTTCTGGGTTTACCTTGGAGGAGAGAGGAGAAGGAATCTTCCTGTCCAGAGCCTGCGGATAGATGGGAGCAGCAGGAGGTATCAGCTACAGCTCTTCCAGGCTGCAGGCTGGCTTTTTATCATCACATTCCAGTTACATCCCCGCTCTTGCCCCCTTTCCTGAGAGCCAATCCCGGTCCAAGTTTCCATTTCCTACACTCTGCAAACAGTTTCCTTTTCTTCTCCACCTCTCGGCGGTAACACCCTCTGCTGGAAGCAAACAGTGATTCTAGCTGGAGGCTCTGAGCAGCTAAGAGTATTCAAAGCAGGTCATGCTACAGTGCTATCCACGGCCCTGCTGGACTAGTGAAGCCCAACCATTAGTTCCTCTTGGGGCCCAGAGGCCCTTCACAATTCAATTCAATCTACAATAATAAAAGTGTAATATGCTAATTAGACCAGATAAACTCTCGGGACAAAGAGGCTGAGAAGGAAGCCTGGGTCCCGGGTGCCAGAGGGAAGCCAGTGACGGCATGGGGGAAGGGAGCCTACTCCTGCACGAATTTCGTGCATTGAGCCTCTCGTTAATAATAATGTCATTTATTGAGAACCTGCTGCATGCCAGGACCTGTGCAGAGTGCTCTATGTACATGATCTTTCCAATCCCACAATAGTTGCGTGAAGTACCATATATTGTCTTTTGAACATTATTTTAAGTCCTTATTTCTGAGTTTATTTTATCCTAGAAGTAGTTCAGATTTTCACGTGATTAAAGATTTTTCATGCCTACCAGACAGGACCTGGGCTGCAGAATCCCTGCAGACATCTCCTTCCACAGCCCCCCGCTCCCCAAGTCTTGGTTTAACCCACATAGTTAGCCTCTCTAGCTGAGAGCTCTTCTATCGCTAGATGGCCGCTTTCTTGGCTTGCAGCTTTGAAAGGGGCATCATGAGAATCATTCACCTTCTGATAACTTAAGAAGGAGATGTGGAGCCAGGATGCATTTCAGGAGCACTTGAACGCTGAAAGTTCTTTCTTTCTTGTGGAGTTCTGACATTCCCTTCAGCCTGGCCAGAGGAGTCGGAAGGAGGACTCTGTTGAGGCATTCCCGGCAGGCATTTCTTCTTCAAGGCCTCCTCTTCAAGGGGTTTTGTGTCCTTCTGCACGGATGTAGGTCTTCTTTGTGGAACCGGCTACAGATATCAGTGGTTCTTCTTTTGCTTTCGTGATTTTCCTGTAATGATAAGCCAGTGAGCCAGGTCCTCTATGGGGTCACTTGGCTGAACCTCCGCCACCTCTACCAAGTGCTGAGCAAGGCAATTTCCAAACACCTTTTCGGTATCAGTTTCCATCTTGTGGGGAAGTTCCAGTCCCGAGTCTGTCATTTATTAGTTGTGTGGTCTTCAGCAAGTCACCAGTCTCTGCGCGCCTTGTGTTCTCATCTTCCCTCATGCCCCCTCCTCCTGGCTGCGTGTTCTCTCCTCTGCAGCATACTGTTTACAACCCTCGTTTTGCAAAGGAGATTAAAGCTTGTGGAAATGAAGTCATTCTATACCATCGTTCTCTCAAGCTGGCTCATCTGGAATGTTGAGTAACCTAGAATGGTTAAAAATGTGGGCTTCCCTGGTTTTACCATATACCCAGCAGCTGCCAGCTTGAGAGAAAGATGGTATAGAATGACTTCGTTTCCACAAGCTTTAATCTCCTTTGCCATAAAATGGGTGCTCTGGCCATAGGTAATGGATTGAATGTTCTTTAAGCCTTTGAGCCTTTGCATGGTGATGCCTGCAGGAGCACTATGGGTAAGAAATGTAAGTTCTAATGAGGATGAATCATTGCCTTCTCCAATGTGGTAGAGAGCTGATACAAATGACCTGGCATGAGCCCAGAAAGTCCTGATTCAATTCCTGGTCAGAGCACATGCCGGATTGGGTTACGGGCTCAATCCCCAGTAGGAGGCAGCTGATCAATGATGCTCTCTCCTCATTGATATTTTTCTCTCTCCCCCCAACTTCCTCCCTTCCTCTCTAAAATAAAATATATATTTTAAAAATAAGTAGCTTAAACTGGTTTGGCTCAGTGGATAGAGTGTCGGCCTGCAGACTGAAAGGTCCCAGGTTCGGTTCCTGTCAAGGGTATGTACCTTGGTTGCATGCACATCCCCAGTAGGGAGTGTGCAGGAGGCAGCTGATTGATGTTTCTCTCTCATCGATATTTCTGGCTCTCTATTCCTCTCCCTTCCTCTCTGTAAAAAATCAATAAAATATATTTTTAAAAATTAAAATTAAAAAATTAAAATAAATAAATAGATAAGTAAATAAATAACCTGTCATGAGTATAGTTTCTCTCCCTGGCCAATGTTGCTAAACTGCTGCCTGCTTCTAGCTGGTTAGCTATTTGTTGGCAATTATTAGATCAGCCTTGGTGAGAGAGAGCCCAAGTTGTTGGATGCTTGCCACCATAGCCACTCTTTAAAAAAAGAAGAAAAGATTTTATTGGGATGACATTGGTTAATTAAATGACATAGGTTTCAGGTGTACAAGTCTATAATACGTCATCTTTGTATTTTGTGTTCACCGCCTCATTTATCCCACCTTTACCCTCCTACCTCTCCCCGCTTTCCCTCTGCTCATCACCATACTGTTGTCTGTGTGTATGACTTTTGTTTTGCTTTATCCCTTCACCTTTTTCACTCAGCCCCCCAAATCAGCTCCCCCGGACAGCTGTCAGTCTGTTATTTGTATCTATGAATCTGTTTCGGTTTTGTTAATTTATTTTGTTCATTAGATTCCACATGTAAGTGAAATCATATTGTATTTGTCTT